GGGGGGGGGGGGGGGGGGGGGGGGGGGGGGGCTCTGGACTATGCTACAACTTTCCCTTAAAAATTCAATGTTTTCATCGGCCTATATGTACATATGTAACGTCTGTTTATGTTGCTTTGCTGTGGTATGTTTTTTTGATGCCTCAAATCGTGCCCTGTCTAGGACACGAAGTGAGAGATCTTTTTTTTATACTGTCTCCTCATGTTTTCTTCAAGGCAGGATCAGACAGGACAAGGCTATACCCAACGACGACGCGACAAAGGACAAGACTCACAGACAGACTTATATACACAGACAGGACAGGACATAACTACAAACAGCTGTGAAAAGACAAAGGAGAAATCAATCAGGATTAAATGAGACACACAAGGGTGCACAGACAGAGAAGGCCCACAAGATGGCACCATCCCTACACTGTGGGCAGCACGGTGGCAACTGATAGGGCTGTTGCTTCTCAGTAAGAATGTTGCCGGTTCATATCCCGGTCCAGGGGCCTTTCTGGGTGGAGTTTGCATGTTCTCTCCGTGCATGCGTGGGTTTTCTCCGTGTACTCCGGTTTCCTCCTACAGACCAAAAATATGCATGTTAGGCTGACTGGTAACTCTAAATTGTCCCTAGGTGTGAGTGAGAGAGTGAATGGTTGTTTGTCTCATTTGTCTCTATGTGTCCCTGTGATGGACTTGCAACCTGTCCAGCGTGTCCCCCCGCCCCTTGCACAGTGATTGCTGGACATGGGCACCGGTGACACCCAGGACCCAAAATGGAAGAAGCGGGTAAAAGATAATAGATGGATGGATGGATGGATGGATGGATAACGTTCCAACTTTTCTGAAATTGGAGTTGCAAACTTGGGCAGCTGTGGCTCAATTTTTTAGAGCAGTTGTCCTGTAGGGAAAGAGCTGGATGTCAATTCCACCAGTACACAGCCAGGTGTCAAAGTGGCCTGGGGGAAGTTACTGAACTACTCATGGTCTCAAATGTGCCCCATCTTCTGTCCATTCGTCCGTCCGTCCGTCCATCCTTCCATCCATCCATCCATCCATACATCCTTGCATGCATGCATCCATCCATCCACCATCCATCCATCCATTCATCCATCCATTGCTGCATGGTAAAGCCTGTATGGAGTCATTCAGCAGCCTGCTGTGTCTTCCTGAAGCAGCAGAGCAGACTGTAAAGATACCCAGGGATAAGAATTAATCCACTTAGTGTCACCACGATGAGTGTTTGGGTTGTTGGAGGTGCACTGAATATACGGCACGGCAGTGATCCTAATTTGATTAGCTGGATGTGTAGATGTTATCAGTCTTATTGTTTCATTAGGTTTAACTGCTCAATAATCCTCTGATCACACGTCAGATTCCAACATTTTTCAGTCAGGTCATCTGGACAGTTTTTTTTTTTTGTGTGCTGAAACGTTTCACCTTACATCCAGAAGGCTTCATCAGTCAAGGAAACACACAACACAAAACTGATTCTTCCCCCAACAGCTCACTCCAAAGTGGAACAAACCAGTCATGTTGGTGCTAAGATGGTCTCTTTGGCACGTCCCCTCCTCTGGTGCCGGCTCTCTCCCTCGTCGACAGTCATGTCAAACTGGTTCAAAACCAACAAACCTCAGTCAGATTGTTTGCTTGCTCAAACAGGAAGGATGTGCAAGTCAACATTGAGCATCTTTTTGTCCTTGTCGCAGAATTAAAGAGGGAGAATTAGAATTACTCAGTCTGCCTGTCCATCTGTGCATGTTTTGAGCATGACATCTTGAAAAATAAGTGAGGTTTGAACTTCCATTTTGGTGTGTAGCTGCATCTAGGCGTCATACATTTTCAGGTCTCTCTTGTAAATGAGTCCTCGAGGCTCAATGGGATTAACCTGTCTAAATAAAGGTTGAATGAAAAATACTGTGTGGAGATGCATGTTCTCTCTGTGCACATATGACTTTTCTCTGCATACTCCAGTTTTCTCCCACAGACCAAAAACACACATGTTATGTTAACAGGTAACTCCAAGTTGTTCGTTGGTGTGAGTGAGAGCATGAATAATTGTTTGTTTTATTTGTCTCTATGGCAGCTTATCCATTGTCCAGTCTCATCACGACTCATTTAGATCAGTGTTTTTCAATCTACTGTGCCGTGGCACACTACTATACTCAGCTCTACACAGTCTAGGCAGGTTTCCTAATGAGTGCCGCCTTATTACCATAAAATAATCTTCGGCCACTGTAGTCATTTAAAGAAACAATACTTTTAATCAATATAAAAACTAGAAAGTATAGTTTTCTCAATTCCAATTCACCCTTTTTGCTCAACAACATGGAAGAAAAACAGTGGTGGTTCTGATTCCCATAGTGATTAAGGAGACAGACAAATTCAACTCTTCTTAATGGAACATTTTTAAATAAATATAATGAATGATTATTTAGTGCTCAGTGCAGAAATTGGGGATTATTCTCAGCTACTTCCACATCAGATTTTTGCTCAGTATCTGAATAATGAACTGTGTTATAGTCTTGTTTGTCAAAGTCAAAGTTTTTTTATTTGTCATTCCACCACATGTGGTACATGTGGTGGAATGACATTGTGTACACAGGGTCCCAGTTACATTCAACCAAAGTATAAATTAAAAATAAAACAGTAATAAGATCTGAAAAATGAACTAAGAAATAAACTAAACTAAGAATTAAACTAAACTAAAAACCATTGTAATAAAGAGAACAGTGAGAAAATGGTCAACGGAAGCTGAAGAAGCCCTGCGGGGTTGTTTTGAGGCTACAGACTGGGATGCACTGTGCCAGCCACATGGAGAGGACATCAATGCCATGACTGAGTGTGTGACCGACTATATAAACTTCTGTGTAACCAACACCACCCCCACCAGAACAGTGAGAAGCTTCCCCAGTAACAAACCCTGGATCACCACTGACCTGAAGGAACTGCTAAACCAGAAAAAAAGAGCCTTCAGGGAGGGAGACAGGGAATTATTGAGGAGCACACAGAAGCAACTAAAAGTCAAGATAAGAAACAGCAAGGAGGTGTACAAGAAGAAGCTGGAGAGCAAGCTCCAACAGAACAATATCAGAGAGGTGTGGTCAGGGATGAAACGGATCACAGGCTTCAAGCAGAAGGAGGATCAGAAGGATGGAAGCCTGGACAGAGCCAATGAACTGAACACATTCTTCAATAGGTTCAGTTCAGGAACAAGCTCAGCATCCTCCTCTCTTGCCCACAGCCAAACATACATACCACCCTCCACTGACCCAAGGCTGTCCTGTCACACCTCAAATATTGTATCTACCACATCGGTCATGGACCCTTCTTCTACATATTGGTCTTCAACCAAATCACAAGATGCTGATACCTCCTTTGCCTCCCCCTCTGTGTCTCTAGAAGTCAGGTGAGGAAGCAGCTGGAGAGACTGAACCAGAATAAGGCAGCAGGTCCAGATGGTGTCAGTCCCAGAGTCCTGAAGGTCTGTGCAAAGCAGCTCTGTGGGGTTCTGTAGCACCTCTTCAACCTTAGCTTGACCCAGGAGAAGGTTCCAGTGCTGTGGAAAATATCCTGCCTTGTTCCAGTGCCAAAGAAAACTCACCCATCAGTCCTCAATGACTATAGATCTGTTGCCCTGACATCCCACATCATGAAGGTCCTAGAGAGACTTCTGCTGACCCACCTGACTAGATGAACAAGCACATATCAGGACCCACAGCAGTTTGCTTATCAGCGTGGACTTGGAGTTGAAGATGCCATCATACACCTGCTTCAGCAAACTCACTGTCATCTAGAAAAGGCAGACAGCACTGTGAGAGTCATGTTCTTTGATTTCTCCAGTGCATTTAACACAATCCAGCCTGATCTGCTTTGTCAGAAACTTCAGAAGACTCAGGTGGAGGCCTCATCAATCACCTGCATCAAAGACTACCTGACAGACAGACCACAGTTTGTGAGACTGAAGGGTTGTGTGTCTGACCAGGTGATCAGTAGCTCAGGAGCACCACAGGGGACTGTACTCTCACCATTCCTTTTCACTCTGTTCACCTCAGATTTCCAGTACAAAACAGACTCCTGTCATCTGCAGAAATATTCTGATGACTCTGCAGTGGTCGGGTGTATCAGAGATGGACAAGAAGCTGAGTACAGGGAACTGGTGGACCACTTTGTGGCATGGTGTGGAAACAATCATCTCATCTTGAAAGTGAACAAAACAAAGGAGATGATTGTAGATTTCAGGAGAAACAGGAACAGGTCCAACCCTATTTCCATCATGGGAGAAGAAGTGGAGGTGGTGGAGAAGTATAAATACCTTGGAGTTCACCTGGACAACAGACTGGACTGGAAATGCAACAGTGAAGCGTCTACAAGAAGGGACAGAGCAGACTGTGGACAGCTGTGGCTGAGTGGTTAGAGCAGTCGTCCTCCAGTGCAAGAGTTGGGGGTTCGAATCCACCAGCAGTCACATGCCAAAGTGTCCCTGGGCAAGACACTTAATCCCTCGTTGCCTCTGATGTGTGTCCCATCGGTGTATGAATGTGATAAAGCTCTGATTAGTCACTTTAGAATGATTTGTTCAATTAGCTTTGTAGAGATCTAGTAGAGAGCTGTGTAAATGGGTAAATGAGGACACTGATTGTAGTGTAAAGCGCTTTGAGTATCTCGATAAGATAGAAAGGTGCTATATAAGTACAGTCCATTTACCATTCCATTTACTGTACTTCTTGAGGAAGCTGAAGTCCTTCAGTGTTTGCAGCAAGATGCTACATATCTCCTATAAGTCTGTTGTAGAGAGCGCTGTCTCTTCTGCCATCATCTGCTGGGGGAGCAGCACCAGAGCAAGTGACTTAAAAAGATCAACAAGCTCATAAAGAAGGCTGGCTCAGTTCTGGGGACTCCTCTAGAACCTTTGGAGATTATTGTACAAAGAAAGATTCTTCATCAAATGAAGAACATTATAGACAACACTCAGCATCCTCTTCATCAGACTGTCATACAGCAACAGAGTGTCTTCAGTCAGAGGCTTCTTCAGATCTGCTGTAGGACAAGAGATCCTTCCTGCCCACAGCATCAGCATCTAGAACAACTCTTTATTGAAACCAGGATGATGAGTTACAACAACATTTAATTTACCTCTGGGATTAATAAAGTATTTTTGAATTGAATTGAATTGAATACAAGATGCACTAGTTGTACAAAAACAATGCTCCAAACAACAGCAGCACAAACATGAGTCTGTATGAGCAGATGAGTATGAATGAACATAGCAGCATGAAATAAATAATCAGCATGAGATCAGCAGCATGGATAGTCAGCAGCACATTTCAACAATCAAGTGGTATTACAGGGGTTAACCCTGGTTAAGGATTCATGAGTCTAAGAGCTTCACTTGGTTTGCTAAGGTTGCTTAGCTGTGGCAGCCATTTTGAACTGGATTGATTTTAAAAGGTAATAATTAGTAGTAAACATCTATTGTTTATTTTCTGAAAGTCTTAGTAAAATCAAAACAGTGATTCATAAAGACATTTTCCTATAATGGAAAACTGGCAGGATATAATATGGAAAAATGTTTTTATTTTAACATTTTGTGGTGGACTGTCCATCCATCCTTACCCGTCCATCCATCCATCATCTTTTACCCGCTTCTTCCTTTTTGCGTCGCGGGGGTCACTGGTGCCCATATCCAGCCATCATTGTGAGAGTGTCGAGGGACACCCTGGACAGGTCTTCAGTCCATCACAGGGACACATAGACACAAACGAGACAAACAACCATTCACTCTCTTTCTCTCACCTAGGGACAATTTAGAGTTACCCATGAGTCTAACATGCATGTTTTTGGTCTGTGGGAGGAAACTAGAGTACCCAAAGAAAACCCACGCATGCACAGAGAGAACATGCAAACTCCACCCAAAGGGGACCCCGGATGGGGATCTGAACCAGGGTAACATGCTCGCTGAGAGGCAGCAGCTCTACCAGTTGTGCCACCGTGCTGCCCCTGTGGTGGACTGGTTTAAGTTAATTATATTTATCAAAATAATCATGTTATTCTTTTGGTAGTTATATGGAGAAAATAATAATTTTTGAAAACAGTTGGCAGAAGTTAAAGTCTTGATGATTTAGGTGTCTTATTTATATTAGCCCAGTCTGCAATAAGTAAAATTTTAAATCCAGGCATGCATTTCTTCTGTTTCATAAATGTTGTTGCCATTTACTGGTATTTGACTAAATTAAAATGCACAAAAATCTACACAAAGTCATCCAGAAGGGTAAGATTATCTGATTGTACATCTGCTTTTTAATTTTTTTAAATATTTTTATAGCTACAAGTGTGACTGTGAGAAGACCGGCTTTGTAGGGGAGCACTGTGAGATGGACATCCCTGAATGTGCATCCAACCCCTGCCAGCACGGAGCCACGTGTTTAGAGGGAATCAACCAGTACCAGTGCCTCTGCTGGACAGGTACACCACACGTCAAAACATGCAAACCCATCAATGTAAAGCCCAAAGTGACATGAGGAAACAACATTAATTTTCAAACTCGGTGTGGGGCTTGTATATTTAGGTACTGTAGGGTGCTAAGGGGCTAAGTTAGCTGCCCTTGACTACAATATATTTAAATAACGGGTTCTCTCTTTTTCGAGTTAAATTACAGCCATGTGACCGAGGTAACTGTGCTTGGATTGTTCAATCAGTGACACTGAGACGTTAATTTTCTTTGACCCATCAGAATAAATGCGGTCATTTATTTAACAGAATCAAAATTTAACATCAAAATGTACAAGTGATTAGTTGATCTGGTTCTGATTAATAAAACTTGGCATGTTTTACTTAATAAAAACAACAGACATTTCTGAAGGCATCTAGATTAATTACTGGCAAAATAGAAGAGTTTAAAGATGGGAAATGAAGGAGTTTAAATGGAGAGAAAAGATGGATGAAAAGGAAAGTGTGTTGACTAGGAATGGCGCCCTTCATCCGACCCCAGCTCAGCCCCGGTACACTCGGTGCGTGGTGACTCGTTACCTTAGACGGGGATACCTCCGCTCAGGAACAGGAGTCCATTTCAATCAATCAACCTTTATTTAAAGGTTTCAACGCTACCTTTCAGCGTCTCCGTTAAGGATGGCTGAGAATCGTCCGAAGTAGTGACGGTACTCCGTTCAACAAACACGCTCATCTCCCGGGTGGATACATAGCAAGCTGTGAGTCCGTAAGAGGTTCCACTCAGACGTGGAGGACTCCATGAAAGACCCCAGGAAGACTCTGGTCAAGGACTCCAGAAGACTGAAGACCGACTCAAGACTGACTGAGAAGTTCCAGGAAGTGTGGACTCTTAAAGAGTTCTCACTTCCGGTCACTTCAGGACTTCCTGATTGGTTGAAACAACCAACAGGGGGTGGTTCTAGTGACGTCAGAGGGTCATTACAAGTCAAGAAAACAGCAGGAATGTTTTAGAAACGTCCCATACAGACAGAAGACATGTTATTGTGAAGTGGGAGGAAGAGAGGCCAGTAGCTTCTTGTTTACCGTCTGCTAGGTTTAAAAACACGACACTTCATTCTAATAACTTATTTCTGACTTTTGACCGACATCACTACTTCTCATTTAGACAGAAGATCAAAAATGCATAATTACTTTGTAAAATAGACATTTAACTTGATTTCTAATTTAAATGAGGATTAAAAAAAATCATTAATACTGTTTCACAGTTGATTCAAAATGAGTGGTTCACTTCAACATTTAGAAATGGTATGAACTAAACACACTTTTGATTTATCAAGATATTGTAAAATAGGAATGATAATATAAAAGAAGAGTATTCTTTCAATTGATTACTTCGGGATACAATTAGACAGTCTCTGGATGAGCTAATTTGTATTTCTGGATTCAAATCAATGAAATAACAGTTCTTGTCCCATGAAGGTCCTCAGAGGCAGGTTTTGGTCAGAGGCCGAGTTCACTACAGTACAAATTCATAACCACCTCAAACTGACTTTTTTGATACAGAGGAATGCCAGCGCTGATGAGCCTCTCACCCTGGATGACAAAGCTCTTTACCCGATACCAAAGGCTGAGTCTGGCCACCCTACGAAGGAAGCTCATTTCATCCAAGGTCTCATTTAGACTTGGACTTGCCAAGATGGCTGCGCTTCCTGGAGCTGCAGCTTCACAGGCTCCAGTGCGATCCCAGTTTTTAGGAGTTCTGAAATGGACTCCGTGCGTGACTCCACACGATTTATGAGGGTTAATTATAGTTGAACTGAACTGAAAAGAATAAGAGTGGATTTGCCACAAAATAAAACAAACTCTCACACAGCTTGTATAGGGACCAAACAGTCCATAACAACGGACCCCCAATCCCATACTCAAGGATTGTAGATGGACAAGCAACTTAAGAGCTGTGCCTTTTGACTCAACCCTACGTCATCTTGAAAGACTGAAGTAGCACCTTCATTACTGAGGACGATCTGTCCATCCATCTGCCACTCCATCCTATCATCACTTGTGAACAAAACTTCCAGATACTTAAACTCCTCTGCTTGAGGCAGAGACTTCTTCCTGACCCAAAGGGAGGATTCCACCTTTGTTACAGTTCAGTACCATGGACAGCTACTTCACACTTGGCTGCAAACCTTCCCATAACATGCTGAAAGGGCATACCATACCATACCATTTTATTTATAGAACACTTAAAACAGCGACAAGGCAAACCAAAGTGCTGTACAGACAGAACAACAGGTAACACACAAAGCAAAATACAAAATGAGGTAAATCAGAATATAGACATAAAAACGATGCAAATAATGACGACTAACCAGTGTGGAGCATACAGGTTCAAAACACAGATCATCTGGTGTTGAACGCTACTGAATAGTAGTGGGTTTTTAAATGGGACTTGAAAACCGAGAGGGAGGGGGCCTGTCTGACAAGCAGAGGTAACTCGTTCCAGAGTCTTGGTCCGGCTACAGAGAAGGCCCTGTCACCTCTGCGCTTAAGACGAGTTCCTGGAACTGTGAGGAGCAACTGGTCCGCTGACCTCAGGGAACGTGGTGAGACATACGGCTGTAGCAGATCAGAGAGATTGGGGGGGGGGGGGGGGGAGACACTGTTCAGCGATTTGTAGATATACATGAGTATTTTGAACTGGATTCGAAGGTGAACTGGTAACCAGTGCAGTGAGGCCAAAACTGGTGTAATGTGCTCTCTTTTGCCTGTACTGGTTAAAACTCAGGCTGCTGCATTCTGGACCAGTTGTAGTCGTTCAATGGAGGTCTGACTGATACCAAACAGGAGTGAATTGCAGTAATCAAGCCTAGATGTAATGAATGCATGTATTACTGTCTCCAGGTTATTTTTGGACAGTATGGGCTTCAGTTTAGACAGCCGCCTCAGTTGGAAGAAGCATGATTTATCAATCATGTTTACATGAATGTTAAGTTTCAGGGAAGGGTCCATTATCACGCCCAGATTAGTGACTTTGTTTTTCTGACAGGGTTAGAGTGGAGAGGTCGATGCAGTGGTTTGTGATCATGTCATTGGGAGGGAACAACATGACTTCAGACTTCTTTTCATTGAAACTCAAGAAATTTAAAGCCATCCAGTCCCTGATGTCAGCCAGGCAGTTGAGCAGCGGATGAATAGAGCATGTACCATTGTGTCTTAGGGGGAAGTAAATTTGACAGTCATCAGCATAGAAGTGGAAGGGCATGTTGTGTTTCCAGAAAATAGCACCAAGTGGCAGCAGGTATAAAGAGAATAGGAGGGGACCCAGGATGGACCACTGTGGAACCCCCCATTTAAGCTCTGCCTCTGCAGAACTAAAATCCTTGATGGAGACGCAAAAGGATCTGTCAGCGAGGTAAGATCTGAACCAATTGAGGGCTGACCCTGTGACGCCCACCCACTGCTCCAACCTAGCAATGAGGATCTCATGGTCGATGGTGTCAAAGGCGGCTGTGAGGTCCAACATGACAAGCAGCACAGAATCACCGGTATCTGTGAATCTGAAAATGTTGTTAAAGACCTTCAGCAGGGCAGTTTCAGTGCTGTGAAGAGGTTTAAAGCCAGATTGGAAAAGCTCTAAGATGGCGTGACCCTCCAGGAAGCACTTCAACTGGGACTCGACTATTTTCTCCATTAGTTTAGAAACAAATGGGAGTTTGGAGACAGGCCGGAAGTTGGAAACGACTGAGGGGTCAAAGTTTTTTTTTTTTAGGAGAGGCTGGACAGCAGCATGTTTAAATGATTTTGGCACCACACCAGTGGATAAACTACCGTTTACTATATCAAGAATGGACGGACCTAGAGTTGGAAACACCTCCTTTAGTAGTCGAGGGGGGACCACATCAAAAGGGGAACCAGAAGGTTTCAAGCTGCACATGACCTGCTCTAGAGAAGATAGAGTGATGGGTTCAAAATGGTCAAAAGGAGCTACAGATTGAGGTGGGATGGATGGGTCATGAGTTGGAGGGGAAATGAGAGCCCTGGTGGTCGCAATTTTTTCCAAAAAGAAATGTAAGAAGTTCTCGCACAGCTCAGTCAAGACTTCCAGAGGTGATGGTTCAGTGAGGTGGAGAACAGAGTTTCGGGTCGAGAAGAGGACACGTGGGTTGCGAGAGTTTGAGGTTATGATATCAGAAAAGTATTTGGATTTAGCAGCTTTCACTGCTTTCTGACAACGGCGCCAACTCTTTTTAAGTACTTGAAAAGAGACCTGCAGCCTGTCTTTCCTCCACTTGCGCTCCGCCCTCCTACATTGCTGCCTAACGGCCTTGGTGACGTCACTCAGCCAAGGTTCTCCTCTGAGTTTTGATTTTCTAGTTTTAACAGGAGCGACATGATCCAGAGTCTTTAAGCAGACAGAGTTGAACTGGGATGTCAGCTCCTCAGTGGTGGTGAGAAACACTGGGGGCTGAATTATTGTTTCAGAGTTATAAACATCTGGCCATCAAAGGGCATGGCCTAAAGACACTGACAGAGCCATATCATGTGCAAAAAGCAGCAACAAGACCCTGATGTTCCCAAAGCTGACATGTTCTCTCCACGACTGACCTTGAGACAACGTGTTCAAACAACAAAGTGTTCAAAACTTGCATGAATGAATGGAATGGAACGATGGAGGAACAAAATGTGACAGGATGGGTGTGGGGTTTTGGGGGTCTGGTCCTGCATGTTGTGTTTTCCCTCATGTTTACCAGTCACCCCTCAGTGTTGCCCCCTGTGTTTCAGCACCTGTGTCTGATCCTAAAATCACCACAGGTGTCTGTCATTTCACCTTGTCAGCGTCTGTATATATTCAGACCCTTGGTGTTATGTCTTTGTCTCTGGATTGTCCTGTCTAAGGTTTGGTGATCTGTCTTCCCTCATGTCCTACATAGAGTAAGTTAGCTGCCCCATCAGCATTTTGCTTTGTTTATTCATAAAATAAACCTTTTACTTATTTTATTGGAGTCTCTGTCATCTTCCTGCACGTGGGTTCACACACGTCAGTCACATTGTGATACTAGGAAGCACATCCAACATTTTTCAGTCATGTTATCTGAACAGTTTCTTTTTTTGTGCTGAAACGTTTCACCTTCGATCCAGAAGACTTTGTCAGTCAAGGAAACACACAACACAAAACTGATTCTTCCCCCCAACAGCTTACTCCAAAGTGGAACAAACCAGTTATGTTGGTGCTAAGATGGTCTCTTTGGCACGCCCCCTTCTCCATTGCCGGCCCTCTTCCTTGTTGACAGTCATGTCAAACTGGTTGAAAACAACAAAGTCCATGCTCAATAATCCAGGTAAACAATCCAACAATTTTCAGTCAGATCATCTGGACAGTTTCTGTTTTTGTGCTGAAACGTTTCACCTTCGAAGCCTAGGAAGCACAGTGCACGGACAAAGAGGAAACACTGAAATTCTGAATTTAAAGGGAGACTGATGAGACAAAATGACGAACGCCTGGGGTGATTGACCTTGACCTCTCCAAGTGGCTTTAAGAATCTGTTGGACTCCTGGCAGGGGCCAATGCAGACATGTTCCTGTTTTTAGTTTTCTACATTCACCTTAGAATCTAGCTGTTTTTTTTTTGTTACCTTTTTCTTTTAGCCATCCTATCTGTAAAAAAAAAAAAAAAAACCCTGCAGTATGACTTTTTATAACTGTTTATTGTTGTTGCTGTTGTCCATTGTTGTCATCTTTCTTTGTTGAAATCAGGTCTCTCTTGTAAATGAGTCCTCGAGGCTCAATGGGATTTACCGTCTAAATAAAGGTTGAATGACAGGTGAGACAGGAGCTGGCAACAAGGGACTGGGGACCTTTCCTGCACTGGGGAGTGCAGTAAACAAGAACTAAAGAAACGACAGAACAAACTAGAGATTCCCACACAGAGATTTTATAAACCCCTTCAATACAATGGAAGTGCATTATATTGCTGATTTCAATTATTTGTTTTGTTTAATTTTATCCTGTATTTTACTTTTGAATAAATATTTTACCAATTTTATTCAAATGAACTTTAACAAGAAAGTATCAGTGCGAACTTCACCTTCAAGGCATTTCAGTCTTAGTGTCATACTGAGTGCACATTTTTCATTTTATTTTAATGCTTTAGTTGTCAGTCCAAATCTTGTTTTCTACCTTCCAGCAGACCTAGGTCGTAAGTGACAATAATATTTAATATTATCAGTCTACATGATTAAAAGCCAATTAAAGGAAGGCCAAAGTCACACAATGGCAAATAGTTCCCACACACAACTCTTGACTCTTAAATCAAAAAGTAGATTTAGTAATAAAAAATTGACAGTTTGTTCGGTGGGGAAACAGAAAATATCACTTTTCTTTTTTCTTTTTTACTTATTGCTAAAAATTGAAATCTGAAAGGCAGGCTTGGTATAAGACAGATAATGATGTGTGAATGCATTTGTGTGTGTTCAGGATATGAAGGAGAAAACTGCCAGGTGGATATAAATGAGTGTGACCAACATCCTTGTGAAAATGGTGGCGAGTGTTTCCAGATGTCACATGTCCTGAACTACCTAATGCTTCCTGAACTCAGCACGCTCAATTTTAGTTATGAAGCAGCAGCTGGTTTCATCTGCCACTGTCTGGCTGGATTTACAGGTAAGATTCACATTTGAAGCAAAAGCCTCTGTTTCCTTTAGGGGTGCACCGATACTGATACCAATACCGAGTACATGTTTGATACTTTGTGTGAGTACTTATACTCATATAAAAGTATTCCAGTACTATCCATCCATCCATTATCTTTTACCAGCGACGCCAGAATGGGGGGGGGGGGGGCAGCCCCCACACACACACTTTATGGCCCTGCCCGTCAGCTGGTCCCAGACATTTACACACAATGTTCCCCCAAGCTGCGTGCCTCTGCAATCGTGCACTGCCTGCTCATTCTCTGCGCACAAGAAAATCTAAGCTGTGCAGTTAGGACAACTGCACAAATGCCCAAGCAAAATTTCTAGTTATCTCCGGCTTTATAATAAACTCTCAGCTCTCTACCTGTGTGTATGCATGCAGAGTGGAGGAAGGACCCCCCCAGTCAAAACAGACCTGTGTCATGTGATTTGTGTAGCGACAACGAAAGTTTATGAAGAGGTAAAAAATTCAACTAATGAAATCACAAGCGAACTTTCATTCCAGCCAATCAGCGTCTTCTCGAGTTTTGGCGCTGATGTGCAAAGAAGCTAAGTGGCTACAAGCAAACTCCTTGGCTGCTTGTGCTTTTCCAAGCGTTGTTACTGCATATGTCATCGCATACTGAGGAATAATATTTGGTGTTGTGGATCTATCACAGAAGTTTACGGTCGTCTGACGTCAAACAGAGGCGGTACGTAAGCTAATCCAACGACTTGTAGCCATTTTTATCATGCTAATTGTTAGCAAACAGTAGTGCTCGGAGTATGTCTGGATGGTCAAAGGACACGTTTACAAGACAGTGGTGAGACCAGCTGTGTTTTATGGTCTGGAGACAGTGGCACTGACAAAAAGACAGGAGAAAGAACTGGAAGTGGCAGAAATGAAGATGTTGAGGTTCTCCCTAGGTTCGTCCAAAAGCAGCTGGAGTTTGCAACTACGCTGCAATGCAGGTCTCTTTGTAGAAAATGTAGCCAGAAGAGGAGGAGGAGGACTGACCTTCTCTTCTCTGAAATAACAGAAGAAAAAGAATCATTCAGGACCTGTGGCAGCAGCTCTGTTCTGATTTCTGAATGCATGTCACTCAGAAACGGCCGTCACATCATCTCTCCAGATATCCATCGTGCACGGAACCACCGCCCCCCCCAATAAACTTCTGCCTTTTTTTTCTTTTCTTTTTTGTAAGAGAACGGTAGTTAGTGTAAAAAAAAAAGTTACAAAATCAACTCTTTTGTCATAAGTTCTCCACTAACGGTTAAATGACATAAACAGAGAAATATCTATCTACACCGCTCTGTGAAAAAAGATATATACATATATATATATATATATTGTAAATGAGTCCTCGAGGCTCAATGGGATTAACCTGTCTAAATAAAGGTTGAATGAAAAAAAAAAACATATATATATATATATATATATTTTTTTTTTTCATTTTCAAAAGAACGACTTTTGTTGCAAACTTTTCCAAATCTGATAACTGTGAAAGTATCCATTTACATGTGTGTGTTATAACTGAACATGTGCGCCTGACATTCAAGGTGCATATGAACAGATAGTGCAAGGTGACAAAAGACCCCCATGCCCCCCCCCCCCCCCCCCCCCCCCCACCTCAAAAATGAATCTGGCGTAACTGTCTTTTACTCACTTCTTCCTTTTCGGGTCATTGGGGTCGCTGGTGCCCAAATTCAACAGTCACCGTGACTGCTGAACATATGTGACTGGGCAAGAGATAGGGGACACCCTGGACAGGTCTCCAGTCCATCACAGGGACACATAGAGACACATGAGACAAACAACCATTCACTCTCTCTCTCACACCTAGGAACAGTTTAGAGTTACCAGTCAGCCTAACATGCATGTTTTTGGTCTGTGGGACGAAATGGGAGTACCCGGAGAAAACCCACACATGCACGGAGAGAACATGCAAACTCCACCCAGAATGCCCCCCGGCATTACTACTAATTTTCAAATCCATTTAAGAGGAGTTGTAAGAAATGTATTAGTATTTAGTACTCCTTTCTTTTGTTCTGTTTTGGCAAGTATTTAAATGTAAAAACTTGTGTTTGGTTTGAAAAAATGTGGCATCAATGCATCTCCAGTTTCTTCATACATTGTCTCTAAACGTGATAAACGTGTTCTTTTACAGGAGACAACTGTTCAGTTAATGTGGACGAGTGTGAGTCTTCTCCATGTCAGCATGGAGGAAGCTGCCAGGATTTGGTCAACTCCTATCAATGTGTGTGTCCAGATGGTTTCAAAGGTAGGAGGATTTCATTATTCTTCCTCTTTTGATCTTACCTCTGACACTGAAGCTGAGCACATTTTTAAAACACATGGCTGTCTAGTTAAATAAAAATATTAAATTCACTTTCCCAGACCTTCTAGGTTGTGCTTGGTTTGAATAGGGAAACAATGGCCTAGACTGGGGTCATTATCAAACAATGAAAGGAATACTTTAAAGGTCTCCCTAATCCCATCATCATTTCCTCATTTGAGGAAGCTGAATCTGAAGACTCGGTCATTACCATGGCAAAGGTTGTCAGAGTAGTATAGGAGTTCTTCAATGTAAAGGCACCAGGAATAAATTAGATTTGCTCTGAGATCCTGAAGACTTTTGAAATTGTAGGATTGCCATGGTTGACACATCTCTTCATGGTCACACGAAAGACTAGGAAAAAACCTGTGGAGTGGCAGGTCGGGGTGGGGGAGTCCCCATTTTGAAAAAGTGAGACCTAAAAGTGTTTTCCATTTTCAAGACAACACACCTACTCCAGGAAAGTTTACTCCAGGGTGCCAGAAGGGAGGGTCTGACTGATTGTCAAACTTCAGATTAGGGAGGAGTAGTGTGGCTTTCATCTTGGCCATGGAACAGTGAACCAAATCTTTTTCCTTGCAAAGTTAAGGGCCCAGCATACTCCATCTGAAGCCTAACAGTCGATGCGCAGTTGATGCATAGTCGATGCACAGTCACATGGTTGTGGGACATTCAGTTTTGCACACACCTTTCATAGTCCATGAGACACAGAGCTCCTGGGAAACCTCTCCCACTGCAGTATACATCACCGCACAGGTTTCTTCTACCCAAGTCTCCACTTCATCCCTGCATCCGCCGTTTGGCCACAAATCTATCATGACATGCCTGCAAACTCAGAAGGGATGAAAAAGGGACAAACCTAGTACCTGCCCCCCCCCCCCCTCCCCACACACATTTTTTAACATGTATAAATTAAGCATTCTGGTACACTCCAAGAAGAAAATTAGGAGTAAAGACAACATGTTTCAGGTAAAAAAAAGACATTTACTAACATATCCTAATTTAATGAGGACTTAAATAGGAAACATGGAGTCAAACAAAAAATAAACAATAACAAACAACAACAGCAACAAGCCAAATACAGCAGAGCATTTTGCTAACAGCAAAAACTCATTCCTTAAATGTTTTGGCCTGGACAAGAATATTTAAAGGCCAGTTTCCACTGCTTGGCCATGTTCATTTTTTGTGCCTATACTAGCATCAGAAGCATGTGTAATGTGGGGGGACACAATGGTGATGTGTTGGGGGGGGGGGGGTATGGGGGTTCTCCCCCAGAAATTTTTGAATAAACTTGATGTAATTTCTTGCATTCTGGTGTATTTTAGCAGGTTGTTAAAGATCTTTGCCTACAGATGTAATCACTTGATTCAACAACTATTTGAGACTTCTAACAAATTAAATCAGGTCCTCTGCATGGATTAAAAAATGTTGAAATTAATGAGCATGCCTCATGATATTTTAGAGACACCTCGTTCAACTAGTCCATATAGGCATCATCCAGTTTTTAAACTCACTCATATGACTCAGATAATGAAATTAATGTGACACAGTTTATCACAAACAATGACTTTAGGGGAGCACTTCACTTTTGTTTTGTTTATTGTTTAGTTAGTTTTATTTGTAAAACAACATGTCATTTTACTAAGCAATGATGACCCTCAACTGCATGATTAAAAATAAGAACATTAACTTTACCCAATGACCAGGTGACATTTTAATAACCACCAACAGTGAATTTGGGGGCGGGCAGATTTTTTAATTTTTTTAATCGTTTTCTGATTTAGTGATGTACAAATGTCCTCCACTGTCATCCCTCCATGCAAAGCTGTAGAGGATGAAATCCCTCTGGTGGAATGAGCTCTGAGATTCTCTGGAGGGTCCAGTCCTGATGCTCTGTAAGCTTCAGAAATAGCCTCTTACAGCCAGTGTGAGAGGCGCTGAGTGGATAAAGGGTGACCTGCAGAGGTGTCCCTTTAATGCATAAACAGACGCTGAGAATGACGCACAGGGGCCATGCGTGCTATATAACATGCAAGCGCATGCACCGGACAGAGGAGGTGAAATGATGCTTCCTCTTCTGAATTGTGAGGAGGAGGATAAAACCCCTCCAAGGTTATCATTCTCGATTTAAATGAGCTTGTGATGTTTTTTGGTATGAAAGCTGGGTTAGGTCTCAGCGCAGCTGAGCTGCCGTCAGCTTGAATCCTGAGGCATGATGGGGCAGCAGAGAGCACAGATAAATCACTCACTCTCTTTGCTGATGGCAAAGCCAACAACAGGGCTGTTTTAAGTGACAGGAATTTAAGTGAAACCTGATCTAAAGGCTCAAAAGGAGCTTTGATCAGAGCGCGCAGGACCATCGTTAAGTCCCACTGTGGAGCTAGTGGGCGTGACACAGGTCTGTGTCTCCGTACACCTTTCAGGAAATGCTTCATCAGCGGGTGATTAAAAACTGTTCTGTCACCGAAGCCCTCGTGACAAGAAGAAATAGCTGCAGCATAAGTCTTAATTGTGCTGAACGCTAGATTTCTGTCCATCAGCTGCTGCAGAAAGGATAGCACGCCACCTAGTGGACATGAGATGGCCTCTACACCTTTCTCCATGCACCAGCACTGAAAAGCTGTCCACTTTGATGTGTGTAGCGCTGTGGTGGAAGCGGCTCGTGAGTCTTGGATTGTGCGCACCACATCTTGTGAGAGGCCCATCTTTTCTAAGCGGATCCGCTCAGCGGCCAGACCCAAAAGGTGCTGGCCTATTTCTGGGTGACTCCTGATCGCTCCTCCCACCTGGAGGAGAGCATTAGCCCTCCACGGCAGTTTCCACGGCCGGCCCGATAACAGACGTAGCAGGTTTGGGAACCACAGGGTGCTCACGCGCTCGGGGGCTACAAGGATGACTGACAGTTCTTCCTCCCAGACTCGGTTCAGAGTCTGTGATATTAGAGGGACTGGAGGAAATGCGTAAAGGAGCATTTTTGGCCACAGACTGTGGGCAAAAGCGTCCACTCTTAATGGTGGGTCGTCCCATGGGCTCAGTGAGAACCATAGTTGACACTGGGCATTTTCCCGTGTGGCAAACAGATCCACTGCTGCTCGGCCGAACCTGCTCCAAATCTGAGATATCAGCTCGGGATGGAGGTTCCAGTCTCCGTGGCAAGGACCGCCCCTCGACATTATGTCCGCTCCCCTGTTCAGGACGCCGGGGATGTACACTGCTCTGATGGAGAGTAGGTTTCTGTGTGCCCAACACATCAGCTGTCTCGCAATGCGTAACAGTTGGGGTGAGCGCACGCCTCCCTGCCGGTTTATGTAAGCTGTAGTAACTCTTTTGTCTATGTGGATCAGAACATGTTGATTCCTCATCAGGGGAGCAAAGTGCTGAATCACATTCCAAACCGTGAGACATTCCAAGACGTTTATATGAAATAATGTGTAGGCTGGCCACTGCGCCCCCACCGCTTGAGACAGGCACATTCCTCCCCAGCCTGACAGGGACGTGTCAGTGAAAACTGAGACGTGTGATGTAGGTCTGCTGATAGGAACTCCCTCTGACAGAGTGAGAGGGTTTCCCCAGTGATTCAGGTCGGTTCTCATGGAGGGGGGCAAAGAGATCATCCACCTCTTCTGACGCACCAGATCTATGTGCAGGTGGACGAAAAGGCCCTATGTGTCAGCCGCTTCCTGGATTATGCGGGGCAGCTCTGAGAGAAGGGCACCGACGGCTGGGAGCGGTGTGTTCGCCGATGCGAAAAGGCCCGGGAGGGGTGAGCATCCGCTCAGCCTCCCCTGTTCTAACACCACACTTTCCAGGAGGGAATGAGCAGCGGGGCTGCTGCTGACATCGCCTTTTCTGGAGGAATTATCCAATTCACTCCATGACTCAGTATCAAAAAAGGTGATGGCGTCGTCCAACGAATAATCCCCTGCCACGGAAAAACACTCCTCGATGTTAGCCTTGAACAAGGCTGCTTGCCTCTGCTTCTCCTCAGGAAGGAGGAGGTCACAGGGATGGCTGGAGGAGACGAGGTTGGCGTGGCGGGGACCCAGGCATCTTTCGCAGATGTCATGCCGGTCGAAGCTCATAATGTAGCCGGTCTGGCAGGACGGGCACAAGCAGATGGTGCTGGACATCTTCTCTCTTCTTGAAGACAACAGTGGTGGTCGGCTGAAGAAAAAATGGGAGCCGATTACCCGGTCTCACCATAATTTATACAGACCGGGGACGAGGCCCACACAGCAGGTGGGCGTGGACTAAAGTTTTCAGTGCTGTGCTGCACGCGAAGGGATAAACCCACTAGCGATAGCCTTAAAGGGCAAAGCCTATACAAAATAGTACATGTAAGTTTACATGTACTTGGAAATTTGTGTTCTTTAAGTCAGGTCAGAGGTGCGTGCGTGCACCCTTTTGTGCGTGCACCGTGCACGCATGTGTGGGTACATGCGTGTGTGTGTGGGGTGGGGGGGGCAGGGCACAGTAACAGACGAAGGAGCAAGAAGAGACAAAACCTTGCTTGAAACAAACACATGCTGTGTAAATACTATAAGGTATTTTAAAGAAATTCTTTAAGCATGAATGAGATAAGAAATTGTTTCACACTTGTGTGAATTTTCACATTTTTACGGCACTATAAGTCAGAGATATGAAGAGTTAAAAACACTCCTCACAATGTCATCTGAACAAAAAAAATCAGTATTATAATGGAGAAACATAGGAGTGAAATGTTTGAACTCTCCCTTCTGAGGCACCTCACGTAGAAACCATATCTCCTACAGCAAAACTACACATACTGGTGGAAAGAGGACAAAAATACCCAAGTATAATATTTAAGTGTATCTTAAAAGATGTGGTGGTAGGAAGAGTTTGTTCGATGACTTTCTGAGTTTTCTTCATGGAGCTCTCCATTCTAGGTCATGTGACCTCAGAACTGCGGCTACAGTGACAACTGT